GTTTTATTTTTGAGTATGATCCCGTATGAAGTGTGGTATTATGAGTTCTTGGTGACGGTTGTGGGGAGGAAGTGATAATGCAGTGAGTGCCATAACGGCATAACGCATAAAACATAAATATTAAATTATTACCTATTATCGTAAACTACTTATTATGATTTTATTAATTATTATCTTCGTGTCGTGGTCGAAGTCGAAACCATCTCACCAGGATCTCCGTGTACACTACACAAGCAGACGTCCACAACACACTTGACTCCGGATATCAAAATATGTATATTAAATCGCAGATATTCAACTCGGTCTCCAATTGCGGGGGTGCTGCAAAAGTATCTTATACCATACCAATAAAATCCAGCAGTTCTAGAATATAGCTCTTAAGAAAATTACAAATCCTCCACCTTATGTGTCCAATTATACCTTACATAAAGACCTCACAAATGAAAACTGTGATAAAAATCTTCAAACGTTTTCATGATCACCTACAAACCCACCAAAATTCATTGAGAACCTATACACCCAAACTATACCGGGAAACTTCGGACGTCGTTTAAAAAGAAATTGGTGCCTTGACTTGTTATAAATAAGAATAATAAAAAAACAAAACAAAGGAGATCTAGACTTTAGTCACTTTAGATATTGTTAATTCCCAACCAAGTGTCACCAATGGGTGATATCTTATTCAAAAAATATTCATTATTATGTCTTATAATATAATATACTTATTGTGCTGTGTACTGTGTTCATCTATACAGATTGTGTATAATTAAATGTAAAATAAAAATAAATTCCTCGCTCCCCTCAGAATCTAAAATTAAAAAAAGAGGTTAAACTCGGTATCAAATTATTAAAATCGATTGAAGTATAGATTATTAATTCATTTGTCTTTACACATAAGTCGTTAATATAATAATATGAATAGTAATATATAACGATCCAACATCTGCAATAACACATGCGGCTTCCTGCAATCTTGCGTACAATTTGAATATATAATAAAAGTTACACAACACTATACCACGTATTCCCTCTGTCCCTCATATAAAAAATAAAACATATACGACATCCGTAATATACATACATATGTGGTACATATGACGAATTTTTACATTTATTTTTAGTATAAAATAACTTACAATTTTATAAATCTTGATAATAGGTAACAGTGACATATCCATGGAGGTTCAGACGGTTCAGTGTCAGACCCCTTCTCACCATGAACCTGAGATGGTAAGTTATTAACTTTTATATGGAACGCGGTTTTTTCTTTAACATTTTT